GTTTATTTAGTTGTCTCACTTTTCAAATTGAAGTACTTTGATTTAGTTGTCTTGTGGACATTAAAAATTTTTTTTTCCAAATTCTCCCATATTATCCTAACCTATTGATAAGAAGAGAAGGCTTTTACTAAAGATAAATGTGGTATTTTAATGCATAATCATTGTAATTTTAATTTTTACTAAGTTACCACCAAGGGTGCAATCCCATAATAAGACAATTAAGGGAAAAAAAATGGAGTATCAAGATCACTATCCTCAAGTACATCCCAATCACACAAGAAATCTTTATTAAAAACAAAAGCAACAGAAATTAATTTATTTTTTTAGAGTCAAAGGCTCAAACCACATATTTTTTTACGGTCAAGTCAAAGCAATGTTCAATTAACAATCATATCTTCAAAGGAATTTCTGTTTCTTCTAATGTGGAAGCGTTGGGATGCCTTGTTCGTACCGAAAGAAATTACCGGGATCAACCTTCGTCTTGATTTGCACCAATCTGTTGAAATTACTCTTGAAATACTTGATCCCATAAACCCTTCCTTCCCAGTAGCTTGCCTTCCCATTGTGATTGACACCCAAATCAATATCTCTATAGTTAAGAAACGCTTCTCTTGGATTCTTGGACACAAAACCAGTCATATATCCATGAAGCTTCCTAGTCAAATTAATGTAATGATCTGCAGCTTCAGCTCCAGCTTCATTCCAGTTTGTTACATACTGAATCTTCCATAAATTTCCAGCTCTATGAGGGAACGGGGTTTCTGAAGCTGAAATCTCAGCCATTCTCCCACCATAAGGATTGAATATCAGTGTCGGGGTTCCCAACTCAATCATCCGCTTCCAGAGCCACTCCAGACCATCCTTTGGGATTGGTTCTTTAACATAATCTGATTTCCTCTTCAGGAAGGTAAGTGTTTGAGGCGTTCGATTGAGCAGAACTTTTGCGGAAGTGTCAACAGGAAAGTTGGTCCAGTTAAGGACTGATTGAATCCAGCTCGTTTCAATGCAATCAGACTGAGACAATCCCAATTCAGGGAAGCTCTCGTTCATGATGGAGAGGAGTGTCTTTGAGTCTCCAAGGAACAAGGAAAGAAAAGAAGCCCTGACCGTCTTTCCACCAGTTGAGCTACTACTATTCACCACATCCAGAATAAGTCTGACGAA